GCCTGTGGCTAGAGATCCTTCTATCTATATGTACACTTCATATGAATATTTAATCATTTTTAATAATAGGGTTTATTTTTCTCATGCCAAAACATTTCTGGCAAGAAACGGTTTTTTTAAATTTTTCTGATGTTTTACTATATAAACTCTGAGAATATCTCTGTTTTGTTACCTAGTATAGTGCCTTGTACATAGTGGACACAACTATTTATTGAATATATGCAGTTATACTTTCACGTAAAGCCTTGTCACCCGCTTGCCTTGTCTTCTTTAAAAATAGAAGTATGCTGCATCAACAGCATCTCCTTTTTTCTCACGAATAGTCTTGATTGACTTAAGTAGTTACAGGGGCCTCCTAAGAAAGAAATGAAAAATTCTAGCTTATCATTGTCCATTTAATGACCACCCTATTCTGTGCTACTTATCTGCTCTTCTCCTCCAAAGTAATGTTTTGTTTTTTATTGTTTCTCCAGTGAAGCTAACCTCTTTGTTACTATTACCTGATCGTTATGAGGTGAAGCTTTGTTTAAAAAGCATTTGGAACAAGTGATCTGTAGGGAGGTTGTGCAGTATCTCCAGTCAGAATGTCAGAAAAATAAAATAGTAGGCGTTCCATTAGTAATTAAAGGGCCATTTGTTCTTGGTTCCAGAACAGAACTCATGGCCTATGTAGACATCTGGGCAGCTCTTGGAACTCTTGTATTATCTACCCATAACCTTAAAGTTGCCTCTTTTCCCTGCCTACGATGATTTTAGTGATACATAAAGGGAAAACATGTTGACTTAATAAAAATGATGGGCAAAATCCAAACTTAAATAAATTAGGAATCAATTTCATATTTTAAAATAATTAACTATTGATTTCCTTTAAATATCCTTAAGCATCTTTTGGTTTCTCAAAAACAGGAAATTTCTAAATGACATATACCAACAATTTGCCAAGAATATATGAACAACTCATTTTTTATGTCTATTATAATAGAAGCTATATTCTTTTTAGGATCTTATGAATCCTTCAGTGGTATCCCTTACACCCACTACTTTCAACGAACTTGTTAAACAAAGAAAATACGACGAAGTCTGGATGGTTGATTTTTATTCTCCGTGGTGTCATCCATGTCAAGTTTTAATGCCAGAATGGAAAAGAATGGCCCGGGTACGGTAAAATAGTTTATTTTAAATCTTAACATTTACTAGAAATGTTTATTTACCAGAGTTATTTTGAAACTGAGATGAATGAACCCACAACTAGATTATGACTTAGTAACAGTTCTGATCATATCATTTAGATTCTGCCTATTACATGTAGTATCTGGTACACTTTTGACCACACTGCTGCCAGCATCATCCCAAAGACACTCTTCATTTTCTATTTAAGTTTTTCTATACTGTATTTTTAGAGCCTAAAGATATTGTTCTTCACAATACTATGGGACTTAAAAGTAAGAAAAAAAATAGCCTTGAGCAGTAAAACATTTATACAGCAGTCTTCAAAAAGTTCATGGAAAGATGTAATCTTTTAATTCCACTTTTTTAATGAACTTTTTGAAGTACCCTTATATTTAGAAAATTTCCTACAAATAGGCACAGTGTTATAAATCATGAAAGACTGGAAACAAATTATTTAGATACCAGAATAGAAAATTCTATTAATATTTTGTATTTGTTTCTAAGATAAAAAAATAAGCCTTTAAGATGTAGTGATTTCTAGTATCTTAACATTTAAGAGTATACATTTTTGTGCTTTTTTCAATAAAATGTTTTAATTCAGATGTGAGTCAATAGGATACCTAAAATTCTTGCCTCCACTGGAAAAAGTAATCCCTTGAAATACCACTGCAGAGACCTTCATTAGTTCTTGGTTTCTAGAGTTTTAGAAATACATAATTTTTCCCAGGTGATAAATGAATGAAGTCACTTGTTTAAACTGCAATAATAATAAGCTGTTATCTACAAAATTAGATATCAAATTCATTAATAGCCCTTATTCATTTTTAATTGATGGAAATCACTGATAAATAATATAATCATTTCACAGTGACTGCATATTTCTTTATTGTAAACGTATGTGAAACATTATAGAGGTAATTTGATTCCAATCAGTTTGATATATCTTTTTATTTTGTTTTATAGACATTAACTGGACTGATCAATGTTGGCAGTATAGACTGTCAACAATATCATTCCTTTTGTGCCCAAGAAAATGTTCACAGATACCCTGAGATAAGATTTTTTCCCCAAAAATCAAATAAAGCTTATGAGTATCAGTAAGTATTCTCTAAAATTTGGAGACATGTATTATAATCATTTAATTATACAGTTAACATTTAAGTTACTCTAACTAAATAAAAGTTAACCCAACAAATATTTATTGGGAGACTACCATGTTTAAGATAGCATGTTAGTGAGCACTTCCGAAGATGAAAAAAGAGAATTGAATAATCCCTCTGTTTATGAAGCTTACAGTCTAGCCAAGAAGATAAGAGGAAGAGCTAACATTTATTAAGTTAGTTGGTTTCAGGTATTCTACTATATATGCTTTACTCACATTATTTCTACTAGTCCTCATATGTACTCTGTGAGGTAGGAATCATTATCGTTCCTACTATAATAGAAATAAACTATGATTCTCAGACCTTAGATAACATTCCCAAGTCACACAGTTGCTGGGGTTTGAATGTAGGTCTGTCTCAGTGCCTATATTGTTTCCACACCAGCACGTGGTATTTCAGGTAGAAAACTCAGATGTAAGGTAGAATATGATGAATATTATTAAAGTAGTAAAATTGAGCCATGGATTTCAAAGGAAGAGAGGGTTACAACTGTGAGAAAATCATGAAAGGCTGCATTTTTGAGGTAGCTTTAAAATTAGATGTGAAGATGAAAAAAGAGAATTGAATAATCCCTCTGTTTATGAAGCTTACAGTCTAGCCAAGAAGATAAGAAGAGGAAGAGCTAACATTTATTAAGTTAGTTGGTTTCAGGTATTCTACTATATATGCTTTACTCACATTATTTCTACTAGTCCTCATATGTACTCTGTGAGGTAGGAATCATTATCGTTCCTACTATAACAGAAATAAACTATGATTCTCAGACCTTAGATAACATTCCCAAGTCACACAGTTGCTGGGGTTTGAACGTAGGTCTGTCTCAGTGCCTATATTGTTTCCACACCAGCACGTGGTATTTCAGGTAGAAAACTAGAAATAAACTATGATTCTCAGACCTTAGATAACATTCCCAAGTCACACAGTTGCTGGGGTTTGAATGTAGGTCTGTCTCAGTGCCTATATTGTTTCCACACCAGCACGTGGTATTTCAGGTAGAAAACTCAGATGTAAGGTAGAATATGATGAATATTATTAAAGTAGTAAAATTGAGCCATGGATTTCAAAGGAAGAGAGGGTTACAACTGTGAGAAAATCATGAAAGGCTGCATTTTTGAGGTAGCTTTAAAATTAGATGGGAATTTGATTGACAGTAATAACTTGAATGAAGGTTCAGAAACTAAAGCCTCAGACATTTTGAGCTTTGCAGTTCCCATAGGTCTGCAGGAAACGTCCAGCAGATATAGTTAGACATTCTAGTCTGCCTGGAGCCCAAAACAATACCAAGACTAGAGAAAAATTATTTGGGAAGCTATATAACCAGTATTTGTAGCTAGGTATATTGAGAAGAGAAATGCTAGATGAAGTCAATCAACTAAACATTTTTTAATTACTTCAATACATTTGTTTTCTGAATATATCTAATAATAGAAAATACTATTTACAACTCGTGTTTTTTCTTTTTTCAGTAGTTACAATGGTTGGAATAGGGATGCTTATTCCCTAAGAATTTGGGGTCTAGGGTAAGTAATTAAAATACATATCATTGTATAAAAAAGATTCAAAGCTGTTTACCTTCTTCTTATGTCATTAGTTAAGTTTACTGGGGATTGTTTAAGGTTCCAGCATTTTAAACTACTTACTAAATGATATGTACCAGGATGGGGTGTTTTATTACACTCATTCTTTGAAGCAATTTTTAAATTGCTTTTAGAAAGTCTTGCAACATTATTACATTTTTAGATGTTTACTTTGGTTTTGTATAATGAAAAATGATTTTGATCCTTTGCCACAGGTTTTTACCTCAAGTGTCCACAGATCTAACACCTCAGACTTTCAATGAAAAAGTTTTACAAGGAAAGAATCACTGGGTGGTTGATTTCTATGCTCCTTGGTGTGGACCTTGCCAAAATTTTGCTCCGGAATTTGAGCTCTTGGCTAGGGTAAGTCCTATCTATCTACTTAAATAAGTTGTGGTCACATGCATGTTTTAATAATTAGATAAAAACACTGTAAATATAATTCTTGGGTTTTTTAAAAAAGTTTTCTCTGAATTTAAACAACTGTATTCTTTTTCTATGACTAATCTTTGCAAATTTCTTTTCTATATGAAAGCTTTTAGCTGACATCTCTATCTCGGTTGACAGCATCATCATCTACCTAGTTGTAAGAGCCAGAAATCTCTCTTTGCTCTTGTCTCCTACTTCCTTCCCCCACCGCCAGTACTCTGCTGCCCTCCAGGCAATCACGAGATCCTATCTGTTCTGTGTCATCTCTTATCCATCTTTATTGCTAGCCTTTTTGTCCGAGCCTTCATCTAGATTTATTATATTTGCCTTTTAACTAGTCTCATACTACGAGTCTACCTTCTTCAGTGCTGTCCTGATGCTCTTCCTAAAATATTGCCTTCTCTGGCTTACTAACCAAGTTTCTTGGTATGTGTCCATTGACTTCAGGTCTCCAATCTGAGCTTTCTTTCTTTCTCCCACCTCACCCTTTACACTCCAGACATAAAGTATTTCAGGTTCTCTGAACATGTATCCTTATGTATGTGCTCTCCTGTCTCTACTTTGGTTGTCTGGATTTTGTTCTCCTTATGCTACAAAACTCAACTCTGATGGCACTTCTGCTTTCTCTGCTTTTCTCAGTTAATGTCATCTTGATATCTTATACTCCATCAGTGTACTTAAACAATGCATGTTAATTATTTACACAGCTGTCTCTTCCATAAGACTATGAGCTTCTTGAGAGCCAGGTCCATGTTTTATCTGTATTTGTATTCCTACTGCCTAACTTAGTAAATGCTTATAAAATCAAACTGAATACATACACTCAGTGCAGTCTGAGTTTTTGATGTTTCTTTTTGTCATAACAGTCCTGTTAATGACCTAATCTAGATTAGTAGTTTCCTCACCTACATAATTCAAGGATCTCTTGCCATTGGCAGTACAAAACATTAGTTAGAATGAGAAAGTCAAAACCAGTCCCACCTGTCTAAAATAAAAGCTTAGCATCCCAAGCAAGCCATGAGAATTTCTTAGAGGGATTTCAAAGCTCCTATAAACTATAAAAGATTATTTTATTTATTGACTGGTCCTTCAAATAAGAGGTTATTCATTCTTTCTACTTTAATCTTCTTCTTATGCTTTCTTTTTCTCCAATAATTTCTCCAATAATCTAACAAAATATTTTATTCCTTCATTCCTCATTATTGAAAACTTAGCTTGGTTATAAACTTTGTAATGCAACTATGTCTTGAGTATAGCAGAAGATTACTAAGCATGAAAAAGGTCATTCATTCAACAAATCCTAAGCACCAAGTGAAAAGCATTATGCTTGGTACTGGGCCAACAAAGATGAAAAGACAGAAATTTCATGTCTTTAAGAAAATTTTAATGTAGTGGAAAGGTGAAATGCAAATGAATAAATATAATACAACAGGATGATTTCTATAGTAAATATAGAATGAAGTGCAGAGTCAGGCCAGGAAGAGACAGAAGGCTCCACAGAAAAGTTAGTATTTGAGATGAGAATTACAACATGACCAGGAGTTGGGCACTTGAAAAGGTCAGCTGGAGAGCACTCTAAACAGAGAAGACAGTTATTTGGTAGCATACAGAAAAATGAGAGAGCAGGTCATGTTCAGGGATCTCCATGTTAGTCCAGTATTATCAGAGTATAAACAAGGAAGGGGAATGACAAAAACTGAAGCTCAAATAATGGGCAAGGAGGAGGAGGTTACTTCTTTTCGCTGTGCTAGTGCACTGCCCACTCTACCTCAGTGATTTTATACTGTACAGAATGTATTCTATGTAAGCAGTAGAGGAGAACTGTTGGATATAGCAGGATTCATTGTACATTTTAGAAAGATCACATTGGCAGGCTGAACAAGAGCCAATAAACAGAAAGAGAGCTTCCGGTCAAGATGGTGGTCCCAGCATCACTCTCTCCCACAAATCAACCAATTTACAACTATTAAAAAGCAATGAACTGCCAAGCTGGGGCCACTAGAGTTCAGGGGAAGAGGAGGAGAGACCTAAGGAGTACATGAAGGCAGGAGAAACCATGATGAGAGAAAGAAAGGACTGCTCCTGCCATTTTTAATCCCAGTCACTTCAAGGCTGACCCTTGTGAGCACAGGGAGCAAGAGCTGGCAAAAGCCACTGCTCTGCCCTTCCTATGAAGTTGCTTGGAGGCGGCAAGGGTCGAAGAGGGCCTTGGTGACCTCAGGCCAGCAGGACCACTAACAGGCTTCCCATGGACCCACATAGGAGTGAGGAGCCGGAACAACTGAAAAAAGGAGCCACTCAGAGGCCAGTAAGTCATCGCAAGGGACTGGCACACACCCTGTCCCATGGGAAGTGTTTGGAGTACGGGTGGTCAGGGAGATGGGCCCACGGGGGAACACTGGGGTACTACAAGGACAGCTGATCTTCCCCCCAATCAGCACAGGACCACTCAGTGGAGGCAAGTCAGGAGTATAGAACTGCAGGGGGAGCAGTTTGCTGAAAAGACTCAGGTCCAGACTAGAGTTTGTACACAACCCAGGTGTACCAGATCTCGCGAGACCCAGATATACCTACAAAGTCAAACATTAAAACCTGACCTGCACAAAAAGACTTCCCCAGGGAATCAGCAGCAATTAGGTCAACCACAAGGCTCAAGTGCTGGTCCCCACAGAAACTTCCTCCATTTTAGAAGTAAGCAAAGGACAACAAATTAGTTCCAGTGCAGAGTTTAAGTAGTGGGAACAGAGTATAATCCAACACAGATCTGAAAGAAAAAACAAAATACCCACAGAGCAGAGACAAAGTTTGATATTAACTAGTAAAGTCACTTCACCGAAGAACACCTATAAAACCTAGAAGGACCAGATGCCCCCTGGGCCCACAAGCCTGGGAGAGGGTAGGGCTGGGGACAGTGGGGGAGTCGAGGGCTTCAGCCACATTCCCCTGACATGTGCATTCAGCCCAGCAATGACTAAGCCACCACTGGAAGCCCCCTGGTCTCCCCTGCAGGAATGAGGGGGGTGCCACGGGCCTCAACCACACCCCTCCTTCTCCTATCCTATTTCCTTTCCTTCTCCCCCTTCCACCCAACTGCTCCACAAGAACATCTTAGAATGTAAAAACAGATGGAGCTGGGGACCAACCCCTCCTCCCACAACCAGGCAAGGAGCATGCCAAAAAAACAACTTCCACGTGGGTGGCCCACCACAGCCACCACAATAGCCACAGCTGCCCCAAAAGCAGCTTAGATGCCCCACCACCATGCAGGTGGTCCGCCAACCACTCAAGTCCATTGACACAAGGAAAGTCACCAGTGGAGACCAAAGAAGAGGATGTCTCTCTCCACAAAGCCTAATCCATTGTGACAGAAGAAACATGTACTCTACAGTAATATTGGGGGACCTGAACACACCTCTCCAAGCACTGGACAGATCTTCTAGGCAACAAATCAACAGAGTAACTGTTAAGTCTTTCAGAAAGAGAAAAGAAATCTAGGGTTATCAGAAGGGTATGGGGAGAGATTGGATAAGGGGCATAAAGAATAAGTATGATTTGTAATAATATATATGCTAATATTTGATCAACATACTTCAGTGTTGAATCCTAAAAATATGTATAATCAATTATGGTTTAATTAAAAAAATAAATTCACTCTGGGGCCTAACTCAACAAAAAACATTCAAGTTGATAAAGAAAATAAAGCTAGAATATATGAGGAAAAAAAAACAGAAAGATATTTAGAGCACAAAACCAATATGGTGCCCTCCCCTAAGTAATTAAAAATATAAGTAAAATAATGAAATAAAATAAACATTTTGGAAATGACATAAAAACCTATTAAAATAACATTTCTAGATTTCTCCAACCTTCAACATGAGTGTGTGTCTGTCTGCATATGTGCTTATTCATGCAACATTGCTGGTGCCTTAAAAGTTAATCTGCCTGTTGGTGTACCCCAGCCTTGGTGACTCAACTGCAGGCACCAAAGATATTTTAGTTGTCCGGAAGTGAGAGATTACAACTTGAACCAGGATTAGATCAGTGATGATAGTAAGAAGAGAAAGGAGGAGACAAATACAAAAGAGATATAAGAATAAATAGGGACCATCACATCCTGGACACAGGTGGTGAAGGTCAGCTTTGTATGCAATGAATATGCACAATCAGTAAAATAAAAATGAATAAATAGGATTTAATGTTCGTTATAGGTGAAGGAGAGAGGAGTATAGGATAACCCTAGTATCTATTTTAAACTGAATAAATAGGAAGAAGAGTGGGTTAAGGGAACAGGATTAATTTTGGACATGCTTGAGGTACTTCTGAGGCATTCACCTAAAGCAAGCCAATACATGATTGAATATGAAATCAAGGGGAGAGACTGGAGTTGATGAACATATAGGTATATAAGATCAGCCTAAGAGACTTTTCACAGTGAAAAAATTGTTGACCAAAGAGAACTCTGATTGGATGTTATAATATGAGGGGCGGATAAAGGAGGAGGTCCCCCATGCTAGAAAATGGGAAGAAGGCTAAGAGAGTAGTGACCAATGCCAAGAAAGAAAAGAGAAAAGAAAGAAGTGGTCAGCAGTATCGGGTTCCCATTAAGAAGACTGAAGTGTCCATTCAGTTTGGTCAAGTAGAGGTCAGTTGTGAACTTTGAGGAGTTTTAGTGGAGGGAGAAGAACAGGTGCCAGACTAAAATGTCTTGCCAAACTAGGAGATGGTGAGGAAGTGGTGAAAGAGTAGACTGCTGCTCAGAAAAAAATGAGAGCCTTAGAGAAGCAGGGTGGTAGCTACAGGAACCATTGCAATCCAGGAAGGAATCCTTTTGTGATCATTTGTACATACACTGAAAAGAGAATTACAGATCTGCCAGGGAGGGATTGGAGAACGTAGGAGGAGGAGTCAGCCTTCCACAAGAAGAAAAATACTCTCAGCACAGAGACCAGAGAAACGAAAAAAGATGAAAACAGAAACAGAGGTTTGTGATGGGCAAGGTGTGGGTAACAAGAAATCAAGGTAGTTCAGAATAAAGTTTCTCAGTTTTAAGACACAGGAGAATTTGTTTGCTGTTGCAGGGAAGAGGTGCTGGGTGAACAGAAGCTTAAAGGGCCAGGAAGAATTTAGAAACAATCTTGTTTGAATAGGAAGGATTGAAACTAAGTTTCTTAAATAACCCTTAAATATATAAAGATTCAGAATGTTTTATATCATGTTGCTTTGTGGTTGCCAAAATAGTTTATGCTGAAGAGAGGATGGCAAACCATATTTTTCTTTTTTCAGATGATTAAAGGAAAAGTGAAAGCTGGGAAAGTGGACTGTCAGGCTTATGCTCAAACGTGCCAGAAAGCTGGTATCAGAGCCTATCCAACTGTGAAATTTTATTTCTATGAAAGAGCAAAGGTATGTACAGGCTTTCCTCTAATTCCTTCCTTTAACAGTCCAAGCTCAAAAGGAGATTTGTTTTCAGTCTGAGTAATGCTTTTTCCTATTTTGTTCTCCCTTTGTCCTTTTTTGTTTTGTTTTGTTTTGTTTGTCTTTTTCGTGACCGGTAAGGGGTTCGCAACCCTTGGCCTATTTTGTTCTCCCTTTGTCCTTTTTTGTTTTGTTTTGTTTTGTTTTGTTTGTCTTTTTCGTGACCGGTAAGGGGTTCGCAACCCTTGGCTTGGTGTCGCCCGCACTGCGCTCAGCCAGTGAGCGCACCGGCCAGTTCTGTACAGGATCTGAACCCGCGGTGGGAGCGTCGCTGCACTCCCAGCACCGCACTCTCCAGAGTGCACCACGGGGCAGGCCCCCTTTGTCCTTTTTTAAATATTATTGCATATTACTGAAACAGCTTTTCATTTACATATATACCAAGTGATCTTAACAGTTTTTCTTTCTCATGGTTGATATGATCTCAATTGCCTTAAATTTTTATACTAATGAATAGGAAAATTAGAGACATAACAAAATATTAATATTGGCTATCTTTGGGTGGTGGAATTCAGAGTAATTATTTTCTGTGAAGTTTCATATTTCTGACTTTTTATAGAATGAATACATGTTACTTTTATAAGTAATTCTTCTTTCCTAGAAGGTAAAAAATATTAAGAGAATACTTTTACAATACTTTTGAAATAGCCTTAGTACCTGAGTATCTTGAATAATTATTCATGGTTTAGATTACAAAATAAAAGTTAGGGTTTCTGGATTCAGTCATAATTAATTTGGGGGGCCACTGACAATATGCTTTTTCAGTAAAAAGAAAAACTAGAGATCCACCAATGGGTCTTAACAAAATCCATGTCATACCTTTTATCTATGATTATTGATACAAAAGCTCTGTTTTTCAGGCACTGTACTTGCTAACTCATGACCTTTGCTGTCTTCCCAAGTAAAAATATGTTTTGTTTTTTGACAGTAGAACTCTGATACTTTAAAGAATGCATAAGAATAGATTAACAAGAATTTTTTTTTCAGAATTGAAGATTAACTTTCTCATGCTCAATTAGTTTATAAGAAAGTAAATAAGAATGCATGATTTTTTTTTTAATTGAAAGAAAAGTTCAACAAAGGCAGGCAGACAAAGGAGATTGCACAGTGTGGTGAAAGATAAAATGAACTGTTTTCTATTATGATCCTAGGAAGAGTGAGAAAAGTGTGTACCTTTCAATGTCTCTTAGAGAGTAACCGAAAAATATAAAATCATTTTCTATCCAAAAGTAGACTTGGAAATATAATAACTGTAATTGTTAAAAGCTGAAAAAGAACCATGAATTGTGGAAGAGCTAAACAGATGGTAGTGATGACCAGTAAAACCCAAGATGATGAAGGCAGACTTGAGTGGTCTTCTTAAGTAAACAGGTGGTGCTCTGCCTGGAATGCAGCTGATGACACAATCATGGATCCAATCTTGATGATGATATGGCCAGCTAAACAAAAAAACAAAAATAGTAAGAGCAGTAAGGTTTCCAAAGGTTATAGTGGCTACTGAGGTCACTAAGAACAGCCTGCAATACTGCTGCCTGGAATAATATTTATTTCCTATATTTCTGTTCAGAATGCTTTATACTATTGAATAAGTTTAAGTAATGAGCTTAATTCCTTTGGGGGGGAAAAAACTGTGGTAAGCTAAACAAGTATTTGCCATGTACTCATGTTTTCTGGTAAAATATTCAAAATAAATAATGTCAAATATTTTCTACTTTTTGGAGGAGAATGTCAGGTTAAGATCTGATATTTTTTGGTAGCTTTAATACATTTTGAAATAGAGCTAAATAAAGAAATTAGGTGATGAATTTTTGAAATCTAATTGTCGCACATCTAAGTTTTGTCCATGAAGGTTTTTGATTTGTCAAGAAGCTGTCAAGAACAGCCTGGGGCAAGCAGAACTCAGCAGAGATAAAGGAGCTTAATATCTGTTTCTCAATTTTCAGAACAACTGAGAAATGGGTGACATAAATAGGGGCATTATTCAGGTAGAATGATATTAGGGAAGTGTCAATGTAATGAGCAGTTACAGAACTAACCACACCATAGACAGAGCTGTTTGAAAAGATGATGTTACCATGTGTCCAGAGGAATCCAGCTGATAAAGTTAGGAACCAAATGTCCCTGTTCAGACTGAAAGATGGGTGGCATCCAGAAGTCCAGGCCAGATAGGAAGGCCAAGGGAGAATAATGATTGGAGTAAACAGAAGTACAAACCAGGCGGGCAGTTAGTTGGGGTTGGGGTTCGGGTTCACACCAGGAATGAGAAAACAGATGGCTCCAGATGCAAAATAAGCAGGCCTGGATATACTGACCTGCTCCTTGCCCTGCTTTTCAGGCACTTTCCTGCTGTGCAGATGATAACTAGGAGATACGTGTTGCTTTCTGTTATTGTAGTTGGTCAAGGTTTTGTCAGTATTGATGATTGCATTAGATTAGAATGATTTCAGTCCTCTGAAGTTTGGAGTCAACGGTGCATTTTTCCCAAGGATCTATTTTACGTTTCCATAACACTATTAGTATTTATTTCAGGTACATTATGGGTTAAAACTGTGCTTTTGCAGCATTATTTCTCTGAAGACACTTGAATTTCAAACACTTAAAGTTTTGGAACAAAAGAACTTTAAAGCATATTTAATCAAGTTTCTTAGATGGAAATGTTATGTTTTGGTTAAATAAAGATAACGAGTGTTTTTAATTTTAGAGAGATATTTTAGAAGAGCAAATAAATACCAGAGATGCAAAAGCGATTGCTACCTTAATATATGAAAAATTAGAAACTCTCCAAAATCAAGGAAAGAGAAATAAGGTAAGGACTAAGCCTAGAGATCACTTTAACAAAAGTTATCAAAATTTATTCTTACTATATATTATGTATATCGATACACATAAGGTATTGATAAGGTACACATAAGGTACAATAATCATAAATTTCATAACAGGAACCTTCAAAAAGTAATAAGATAGTTGTAAATTTCTACTTTGGGAAATAGGACAATCAAACTAACGTCTAGACATGGAAATGTTTAGAAATTGAGACAACTAAAACCATTTAACAAAAAATAGTGACTATGGTTCGCACAAAAACTTGTATAGAAATATTCATAGCAGCCTCATTCATAATGGCAAAAAGTGGAAATGCAAATGTCCATCAGCTGATGAAGGGATAAACAAAATGCGGTATATTCATACAATGCTATATTTTTTAACCATAAAAAGGAATGAAGTACTGATCCTTATTACAACATGGATGGACCTTGAAAACATGCTTAGTGAATGAAACCAGTCACAAAAGGCCACGTTACTGTGTATGATTTTATGTGAGATGTCCAGAATAGACTAACCTACAGAGACTAGAAGTAGATTAGTGGTTGCCTAGGGGTGGGTGCAGTAGAAAAGAAATGGAAATTGGGGCAACTGCTGATGGTTAATAAAGTTTCTTTTGGGGGTGTGGAAAATATTTTAAAATTAGATCGTGATGATAGTTGCACTATTCTGAATATACTGAAAACCACTGAACTCCTTTAAATGTAGGAATTTTATGGTATATGAACTATATCTCAGTAAAGCTATAAAAAAATAGTGACTATGGCCATAAATTATTTAAATTTTGTTCAAATGTAAAAGCATTGAATTGTTAGGAATAAATATACTGGAGCTTTCATAATACATTTTGGATAGCAAATTTTCTTTTGTTCTTGGTGTATTCAGGATGTATTGAGACCCATATTCTTCTTGGGCATTCCTTGAATTTTTTTTTAATCTATCAAAAAGCAGTGCAACCTTTCCTGTTATCCTTCAGAAGGCAGTTCACTTTTGCCTTTTTAAAATCAGTGTCATCCTAGAGCATACACAGAAACAGAGTAGAGAGTCCATGATGTTGGAGTGCTTTTTGATAAGAATATAATACAATCACATATATGGTGTCTTGGATTCTTTCCCTATAAGATAAGAAAAGGACAAAAGCACAGCACAGCCTCTGGAGAGGACTGGAGAAGGCTGACTTTGTAGGGCCATATTACAGTACTGATTCTGCTATAATCTAGTTCAGAGCTGCAGCCCCCAATACAGAAAACCTTATAGCCTGCTTTGAGAATATTTTGTCCAAATCTAAAATATAGGAAAGAGATAGTTGTGAATCTATTTTCTTGGGTTCACTGAACAAACATGTTTTTCTAGTGTTTTGGCAATATTAGTTTTCTCAAGATATTTTATTTAAAAATTTATGACTTTTATCAAGTTAAATATTTGAAATAGAAAAACACTATTAGTCATAAACAGAATATCACAACCGAAATTAAGTTAAAGAGCATACTACCAAATAGGCCTTTGAAAGTACATAAAATTATAGTCTGCTGTGTGGAGGTAAGAACTAGTAGATAATCATTTCTTTTCCATTGTTTTAGTTAGGCAAGGTATATTTTATGTAGTAATATATTAAATAAGAATACTGAGTATTTCTGAAAAGGTAAAATATTGCTTAGTTTATATTATTTTACCTTATTTTTAACATCATAAACTCTTCCTTTTCTCTTTCAATCACCTTTACATTATTGTTATAGGATGAACTTTGATGATGAAGAAAAAATTGAAGAGAAATTCTGACAAATGACATCAGAAGACACCTTCATTAGAATGTCAGTACGTTCATGGTTAGGAATAAGTGAACGTTATCTTGGACTTGTAATTGCACTGCCTGAATTCTGTACAGCATTGGTGTGAATGAAGGGTCTGCAAGTTTTTTTCTGTAAAAGGCCAGATCATAAATATTTTAAGGTTTGCAGACCATAAAAGGTTCTTGTCACATATTCTTCTTTTTTGTTTTGTTGTTGTTTTCTAAACAGCCTTATTAAAAAATACAAAAACCATTTTTAGCTCAGGGCCATACAAACATAGGCCACAAGCCAAATTCAGCCCATGGGCCACAGATTGCTAGAAATGATGTTTCGTGTGACTAGCTGCAAAATGAGCCTGCTCTGCATTATCTACATAATGTCTAAAGATGTACAAAGCACACTTTTTCACCTAGTTCTGTGGCTGGCCTGAAAAGAGGTAACTTGGTTTTCAGTCACCTGTTCTAAAAATTCTGTCTCTGACTATATATTTCATCGTAAAAACACTCAAAATGCAGAAAAATAAACAGATACCTGTTTTCATGCTGTATTATAAAGATATTATTCATTGTTTTCTTTCCTTTTTAAAGGTTGAAGAAATGCTAATTTTTCACAACTGAGAAATTTTTTTTAACACTAAGTGTACAAATTCTATAGATATATATCATCCAGAAAAACATGACAGAAAAAGATGTATAGAAATTAACTGGACATTGTAGAGTATCCCAGATATATCAAGTATTTAGAGTTCTATATTTGGAATATATATGAGTCATTTATTTTCTGAAATGTCTTTCATAAAAATTTTCTCACTGATAGCTGATTTTTTTTTTTTTGAAGCATCTAATTTTTAAGCTTTTTGGAATTTGTTTTGACCTATATTCTTTATTTACACTGGTTTGCTTTTTTCATAGTTCTGGTTTTTTCATTCTTTTTTATTCATTATTCAAGTAGGAAAAATAATTTTACAGGTTTGTTTCACTGTAGCTCATAATGATCCTGTGGTTATTCCAGTTATTAGTATACTGTCAGAGGCTGCCTTTTTTAGATAAATATGGGTGTAATAACTAAAGTTATTTTTATAAGAAAATCAAGTATATAAATCTAAGAGTGGGATTTTTTAGTTTCAGATCTGTTCATACTCAATCACAAAATTTTTTCCTTGCATTTAACAAATTGTGAGTAACATGTAGATGTTTGGTTATAATTCAAGAGTGTATGAAATGATAAAAATCCCAGTTGCTCAAAAGAAGTCAATGAATAAAAAAAACCCTTTGATTTTTCAAAAAACTTATTAAGACTGTGCTTTATTGTGTTTGGAAGAGATTTGTGGGGTTTTTTTTTAATATCACTTTACCTTGTCCCCCAATATTCCCTCACATAGATTATTTTATTGCTATAATTTAACTTATATAAAAAATAGACTTTGTTCATTTTCAACTCTAACGTTATGCTTCACATTCTCTCCCATATTTTTCTCTAGTATATACTCTTAACCTCCATTCTTGGGTTCTGCTTTATACACATGGGCATATATGGAACAGTCACCACTCTTAACCTTAACACCAGCTTTTTGAATTTTGATCAGTAATGGCAAGAGCCTTTCATTTATTAAATTTTTAAAGCCTAGAAGTTCTTCAAAACTGGCTTGTTTCTACAAAAATCCTAGTAAAAATGGAGTGCCTAAGGAAGCTTTACTTGGTAATATTTACTATGTTAATATACTGGTTATGTACGTACCACTGTGCTGGACCCTGAGGAGTGTGCAATAGGAATATAACGCATGGTTCCCATCTCCCAAGAGTTTATATTCACAGTTCTGTCAACTAAACTCATAAATAAGTTTATAGTTACTTCTATTACCACTTATAAATATATTTCCTATACTTACTAGTTGAGAAATATTTTAGGCAGTAAATAAAATAGTAAATATTATGTATCCTGTAACTTGGCCTAAATTATGCGCCTGTGGAATCAAAATCTAAAGCCAGGGACCCTGGGAATCTGTTAGGTAACATGTATCGTAAAGTAACATAAATCAGGAGGCTATCTTCTGCATCGTATCATTGTTACTGGTCCTTCAAAAATAGCTGGCAGATTTAGGCTTTAACAGCTGCATTGGTGTAGTAGAGCACCTCTAAGGAGTACCAAGTATAACGTGTCTCTCAGCAACACCATTGTTTTGTGCAGCTGAACTTAGGTAATGTGGTACCAAGTCTAGCAGACCAGAGCACATTCTGCCAGGCAGGCAGGCAGCCAGCCTTAAAGATTAGGTACATTTAAAGGATGTGGCTACATAAGACCTTTGGAGTATGTGTTTGGGGCATTAATATTTGCCTATTCTTTTTTTTTTTTTTTTTTTTTTTTTTTTTTT